AATTGTCTATCTATTGTTTATTTCAATTAGGCCCTTAGACGCAGTTTTTGACGGGCTTTAATTTGGTATAAAATAGTTGATTATATCATTGATTCATTATGTCGCTAAGGGGGGGGGCGTAAAAGTTTTTTAACACCCTATATATACGGCTGTCAAAGTTAAGGTAAACAAATGACTCATTGCATTGTAGTAAATCAATTTCGAATTTCAAGGCCTTGGAAATTATTTATAGAAAATCGAGTGATTTTCTAGAATATTAGAAAATCAAACTCGAATTTTCTAGTATAGAAAAAATAGAGGCCACATTTTCATATTTTCGGAAATTATATGTCGATTTTTTGAATAAAATGAAAAGTCAATTTATAGATCGAAAATCATGAATTTCTAAAAAGCCAGAAAATCTAGGCGCATTTTATAAATATCGAAAAAAGCTCCACGATTTTCTATAAACTAGAAATTAAGTCTAAATTACAGTGTATATCAGTCACATGATATGCTATATTTATTTTTTGTTTATTTGCCTTTGATTTTTTAGACTTCAAATTGAAAGGTTTAGAATGCTGTACCACTAGCAGGAAATACTATCTTTCGGGTAAGTGTTCTGAAATTAGGCTTCAGTTGAAAAGAATTGGAATGCTTTGTTATTATGTTTTAGTTTCCGTAAGCTCTCTATGAAACGTCCTTGCTGTTGATTACATCTATTTCCAGTTTGAAAAAGATTTGTGTTTAAAATATAAGTATAATACTGCTAGCAGTATTATACTTTATATTTAAAACTTTATTTGCAGCTGCTCATTCAAATAAGATTATTAGTGATTTAAAAAACGAGCCTGAGTTTCGAGTAGTTCGTGTGATTGTGAGGGTCTCGAAACTCAAGCTCGTACGAAGCTTAACAGGATATATACATTGTTGCAGCTCTCTGTACCCCTTTTAGGTTTTGTAATAAACCTTGCCGTATAGAGAGTAGAGTTCCAGTCAAAAAAATAATCCATATATGGCCACTTTTGTATTAAAAACGCCTTTACATATTAATTCTGATCTTAGTAAGATTGCTCTAAGATCTTAGACAAATGTAGGTGAAATCTCACTAAGGTTATCGTGAGGTCTTAGCAAGATTCGAGTAAGTTTCCCGCTACTAACATTTAGGAGAAAATGGTACTTGCTGCAGAGAAAAATGCGAAACGTAGAAAATGTCCCAAAAGGCTTGTCCAAGGATAAAATCAGCTTATTTTCGTTTTAATGTAGTGTTGCATCAATTGTGGATTTTGTCAATCATAATATCATTCAGCACGTAGGTAATTTACCATTAGCCGATTGGAAAAACCCATCATTTGCTGTTTTAACACAACATTCAGTGTCTTTTTGATTAAGAATTTCAGCATAATAACGACGTCCATTTTCTTCCTCCGCGTAAGAACAAGATATCAATATATTCGTTAAACCATCACCAATCAAATCAGCAAAATAATAACAATCGATGTATGTAAAGTAGAACAACTATGTCATTCATCAATTTTTAAAGCATTGTGTCACGACGTCTGCGATTTCCCTAAATAATTGATTAACAATAACGAAAAGAAATTAGTCAGTAATGTTAGTGATGCGGAATTTCATGCTTTGAAAGTATTTAAATAAAACATTGTAATTTGCAAAGCAGATAAAGGCAATTCTATTGTTGTCTTGAGCAACAGTGATTATATTCAAAATGTATACGTCGTTTTCATTTCCATCGAACTACTTCACCTTTAGAGTAAACAATTGCATGTGACTGTATATATGTGCAGCACATTGTCTCATACTGCATTATAAGAAAAATAGTATTTTAACTTTGACTATTATGAATGCTGACGGCGCGTTTAGTGAATTATACTTGGCTTGTGAAAGTGGTGATAATGAGCAAGTGAAGAATATTTGCTCTCAGGCTGATGCTGACTTTGTTTCATTAAATAAAATTGAGTCCAATGGTAATACTGCATTGCACATTGCATCTTCGTTGGGACGTAAAGAAATTGTTCGCTTTCTTCTAACAGACGTTGGAGTGATCCGTTATCGGTTAAATACTGAAGGACTGACGGCTTATCAAGTGGCTAAAGATGACGAAGTTCGTCAGTTGTTTCGCCGATTATTACCTGATCAAATGGATCGATACTGTCAGTCTGTTCAAGACGTAGATGATGTTCAGATTACTCAGTACAGTCCCGAAGATAATGATGGTAGTCTGAATATTGATAACGATGAAAATAATGAGGTCAGCAATGATACATCCATCTGTGATAAATATATCGATGGATATACGTCGCCGTTCGATATTCTCGGAACTCAGACACATACGGCTCTTATGATAAAATATCTGCCCAAAACACGACTTCGACTAATCGCTATGCGCTTTGAAAACTTAATTGGTCGTTTTCAAGGCGAAAGTCCGACTAAACACTCGACTGATGCCATTCTTCGACAAGAGTTCCAAACCGTCATCGATCAGTATGTTAAGCCTCAACATTCTCAATATAAAAAGGCTTGTTATTTATTGGACGCCTACTTCTCAGTTAAACAAATCGATCCACTTATTCGCCTATATACTCTATCAACACCATTTTATAGTAAGACAGAGAAAAAACAGAATCCATTGGGATTTGCCATGTTATGTCACTTGAAATCACTGGAAGCGCGCTATTTTCAAGGCGTGGTTTATCGAGGAGTGGTGGCAACACAGAAATGTTTCCAGGCATATAAATGGGCTCTGAAACAAAAGTCCTGCTGTCTCACAAATAAAACGTTCTGGTCCACCTCAGCTGATCCAAACGTCGCTCGTATGTATATGAATAATCAAACAAATACTGATCAGTTGAATATTCTTTTCATTATTCAGTTTTGTCAACGAACGGAAATGGCAATTCGTCTTTCAGCTATCCCCGAATCTGGCCTTACTTGCTTGTCTGAATTTGAAGACGAAGAAGAAGTTTTAGTCTTGCCGGAAGCCATATTTCGCGTTGTTGCGATAGAGAAAGATGGTTTCACTTTACGCGCCTACACAATTCGTCTTGAAAATATACTCATCCCAGTTTTTTCGCGTCGACGTCTCTTCAAAGATGTTGTACGCGAAGGATCTAAGCAACTTCGAGAAAAGTATCGAAAATATCGCAACAAAAACTGAAGAATCACGACAGACTTTTTATTTTGACTTTTTTCTATTTAATAAAATATCTTATCAACCTTTAGATGAATAGTAACTGTTGTAAGTGTTTCTCTGACCCAGTAATAACAAATAATTGTTTTCAATGTCCAAATAATTGAAGCCCTTTTTTGTATGAATATATTGTTTCATCTGCTAAAACATAATTGAGTTTTATCAGTATTAAAAACACATTTCCAATCAATTGTTGTACATCACTATGATTTTATACCGTTAAAAAGGAGAATACACGTAAGTTCACTTTCATTTCCACTATAAAAGTACCATTGAAAGTGACCCTGGAGAACCGATTTTTTAAAAGAATTGTTTGTTACGTCTCAAAGACTTTTATTTGATAGTTATCTTTTTCAATAATGACTTCAAAAAAATTATTAACACATTGATGACCGGAGATGAGAAAACTCGTCGTATACACACGTACGATACATTTACCGGTCAACAATGTGTTAATAATAAATTGACTTCTAAAGTCAAAATTAGGAAAAAGCACACGCAGAACACTTGGTTGCGGAGAAAGCTTTTGAGTAACGCGCTACCTTGAAGATGAAGCGTTGGGCAGCGTAAATATACTAATTGAAGCTAGTTGAGACAACCCTGGGGAACTATCGAAAACTTGCACGCCATGCTCTATGTAACTATATAACAAACTTACGATCGACAGATATCCTCTAATGTGAATTATCAGCTTGGTGGCTGGTTTCTTATTCTATCTGACTATATTTTTTATTTTTGAAAAGACAGATCTTTCCGAAATGAATGATCATTTATTCTTTCAAATCTAACAATAGCAGCCAAGTCGTTGTTTGTGACGGTCAAGTAGAGCGATAGGTTCTTTCAACTAAAATAGGAGTTTTTAACTCTGCGTCATGTGTATTGAATAAATTTGCCTTTATGACGAAAATCAGCTGGTTTTCTTCATCTTTGTACGATCTTCTAATAATAAATTTAAGAATGATTTTACTCTCTTTCCAATGATTAACGACATGATTCAAGAAACGCTGTAATATGACCGAACGCTTTTTACGAAAGACCCGGACTCGAACTTGAGCTTTTGCATGTCAAATTTGATCACCTGACTTTTAACATAAATGAACAGAAAAATCGATACTACTAAAAAGTAACTGCATTTTTACGAGGTTTCATTCTCGCTCAATACCTGTGCATATTATCGTCAAAATTGTTCTCAAAATATAGAAAAGACTTACCATCGAGCAGATAATCGTGTGGAATAAAAAATGAAAGATCTCTGCAGAGAAGGGTAAAAAATAGCTGCTCGGGACCTAGAAGACGCAAGCGAGCAAACAAAAAAAAACATTTTCTCAGTAAGCTGTCGGTGCTCGAAACACGTACTGATGATACAGTTCATCTTTCGAGCATCTTTAGCTCAACCTGTTCTATGCTTATTTCTTCATTCTAGGTACACACGTTCGAATCATCGTCACAGCAGAGTAAGTTGTTTTAGTTTCTGTCTTCCTTAACTTGTGAACCTTGAGTTTAAGCTAGCCGTGGACGGCCATGTGTGAGCATGTAGACTATCTGTAAACGTCAACTGATTCTGAACTGACTTTTTAATTTTTTTAAAAACGCGCTTAAACGCACTGGAAACTAACGCGTTTAGCAGCATGCTTTTTGTCACATTTCGGGCGTTCCAACACGTTCTAGCGTGTTGATTATCGACGCTGTGAAACGCATAGGAATTATCTATAGCACCTCTGTAGTATACGATGAAGTACGACATCGTATATACATATCACCGGATCGAAAAATTTTAAAAGCTTGTTCGGCCAAAACCGATTGCAGATTCGTCTTCTCCATGGTTGATTATGTGGTACGCGATAACTTCTGGATCGGGGTACTTTAGAAAAAATTTTCGACATCGTTTT